TATGATTCCGATGAACATTAATCCATAATGAAAAATTGAGTTTGAAACGGTTCCCCGCTTGAAATGTTCTCGGTAAAGGATTTTCATCGCGATGGCACTATGGAGAAAAATAAAACATGAAGTCGTCACAAAAATAGTTACAGCAAACCAAAGACAAAGTTCCTGCAATACGCTATTTAATTAATAGGTGATATTGGGTTATTTTCTGTTGATGCGCTTTGCATCTAACTCGAGGGCGGAAATGTAAGAAAAACAAAATGCAATGGCCTCGTAGATGAATCCGGTTTTTTCATGTCACTAACCAAATTAATTAATAAGTTTAATTTATAGTGTGCCTTCTTACAAGCTTATGGTATTATGTGCGCAATTCAAAGTTCATAGAAATCAGAGGTTTGAGAGTTGGTAAACTGTCACCTGTGGTCAAATCTCAAAATATAGAGGAACGTTTAAAAAAAAAAAAAAAGGGCCGAACACTGTAACCTACGATAACTTGGGAAAATCGGTTGGCCCACAGACAACTAAGGTGCAGCGTAATTGCAATAAACTTTGTCCGCCTCCGGTCGGAGATTGGACTACTTGTTACAGTATCCCTTTCTTATATACAAGTGCTAGTACGCTAAAAAGCTTTCAATATAGGATATTCCATAGACTATTGGAACAAACCTATTGTTAATGAAAATTGATATTAGGGATCGTAATGAGTGCTTTTAGTGATAACAAACCTGAAACCACAGAGCACCTGTTTTGGCATTGTGACCGGATATTCCCCTCCTGGAGCGCTCTACAAATTGGATTTGGGAGGTGACAGTAATTGAAGCCGAGTCTTCCCTTGAAAACCTTCTCTTGGGCTTTACAAACTGTACTCCCTTGTAAGAATGCGATATTTTATTAGTCAAGTTTTTCAGATTTAAATGTAAAATGGTATTAGGGTTAGGGTCAGGGTTTAGGGTTAGGCTTAATTTGATTATCCCGATTTTGTTGGCGTACAGAGCTACCTTAAGTTTCACTATAATATCGAAAAATTTGCCTGTAACTTTTTTCATCAGGATAACATCATAACCAAGTGGAAACTGATGAAAAAAATATAAGTTGTCAATAGATGATGTAATGTAAGTAATTCAGAGATGTAAGTATAGTAGAATTATGTCTTAAATGTGCATTATAAGTGTTATTATTGTAACTTACTTTTTGTTCTATACTGTGTATCTGATGCTACCTAGGTTTTACTAATAACGTTGCCACTAAATGCAAAAAAGATAAATCAGTAAATAAAAAATTTCAAGCCATTTATAAAGAGATATTTGATTGGAAAATTCAAACCGTGAAGAGCGACGATATCAGTTCTAATGCAGTGAAATGATATCCCTTATGATAAATTATCATCGATATCACCTATCACTTTATCATACCTGACTGAAGTGGCACGCAACCACGATGTATCCCTTCAAACCGAGGAGCACTTGGAACTAGACGCCATCTTTGTTTTGTACTTTGTCCGATAAATTTGAGTCCGCTAACAAACACATCCGATCTACAAAATACAAAATCGACATGCAAATCGACATAAGCTCGAGCGATCGATGTTTGTTGAAATTAGACCGAGTACTTGACGAGCGATTCCTCCAAAAGAATCGCACCATTAATATAAGTCATCAATGGTCATTGCTCGAGCTCGACCACTGGCCTTCTACGGAATGGAGCTCGAGTGGTTCGAAAGAGCTAGATGAAGTCAAGGCGAAAATTAGTTGCCTCAAGTTTGAATAAACGCAGCTTAGTATGAACTTTCTTAATCTAGATGGACTAGTATAAGAAATGATCTTCTTTTCTTATGGATGTTGAGGTAGCTGATATAAATCTCTGTGTTATCCACCATGAACTTATTAGCTCACGAGATCACCCTTGGAGAGCGTTCCTCCTCATTAGATCATCTGGGCGTTTTAACTTATCACACTAATCACGCTTGAACAAACTAAGAATCAGATTGGTTTTCACATGATTCATCAAAATATCGCTAACAAGTTTACCACGCTAATATTGTACCCTCGTGGGTAGAATGAGAATTTATAGAATCTGAAACAAAACTTCTTAGC